CTTTCCCTCCTTCATTCAAAGTCCTTATTTCATCACCCCTTCAGAGTTACATCCACTAGTGGAAAATGAGCCCTTCATTCCTGTGGTGCCACAAAATGGTGCATTCAGGATTCCTTGCTAAACCGAAATGGTTGTACACTGGCCCCTCCCCCTCCCCACCATGATCCATCTGATGATGCCGCTAAAGTGAAACCAAGAAATATTCCTTAATATAAATGTCAAGCTTTATCACCTTTTTGACTAAATGTAATATGTTACCTCTTAATAAAAATGTCTCTTGTAGTTTATATTCCATAGGAGAATATGTGGGGAAGAGAATTTTAACTCCCAACTTCTAAAATTTTTATTAATACTATTTCTGTTTATTTAAAATACTTACATAATATTCCGTAGCTTGTAAAAACTGTTTTCACTCTGCAAACATTTTTTCCAAAATATGCCATGTTGGAAAAAAAGGTATGTATTGGTTAAACACTAGAATCCTAAGCTCATTAATATTAGAGCCATTATCTAGAAATATGTATCAGTCTCTCTTAATTTCCTTTACATGAAATTCCTAGAAACAGGAGCACATGATGGGAATATCCCATTTTGAAATGCAGAAATTGAAAAACCGTGCAATTCCCAAGCTGCCTGGAGCGCCGAGTTTTGGCATCACCCGCTCCGAGATGTTGGATTTGTGCCGTGACCACTGTGCTTATCCTACTATGTGGTCTGAGACCAACCTGGGGGTGGGGCCCTTTCTGAGCAGAGAGGGAGAAAAGCAGATAGAGCTTTGCCTGCCTTCTGTCCAAAAAATTAATCAGCTGTTATATAAAAGTTTTACGGAGACAGAGGGAGGGATAACCTGTGTTGAAATTTCCACAGATGTCAAGCCAAAACAGAAATGATAGTGGGTAATAGCCTTGTTTTCCCAAGAGATACAGCTACTTTGGCATGTCAGATTAAGACTGTTACCAACTCCACTGGCAAGACAGCTTGAATTACTTGCTAATGGATGCAGTATTTGAGAGATGCATATGGTTATTTATAGGGAAGGCAAATGTCCTCGATGTCATTAATGGTTCATAACTACGGTTCTTGTTTACCAAATGATCATTAGATCTCTGTACTTAAAAAAAAAATACTGTCAGCAAATGCAGAGATTGTATGAAGGGCTTTTTTTTCTTGCTTGTTTGAGGTTGCCTTATATAAAGAAAAAGTGTCTGTGTGATTTTCCCAAGTAATAGAAGCAGCAGTTTCTTTTCATGACTTCATCCCACAGATACTCTGAGTTTAGTATAAATCGGCCATCAAGTAGGCAGCTTACCCACAGTTACCTCAGTCCCGTGACTGGGTGCTTCATCACATAGCTAAGTACACGCTGTAGCTACTGATTATGACTACTGGACATAAGACGAAATATTTTGCAGGAGGAATGTGATTCTTTAAGCAGCTTAAACAAATGTAACTTTCCCACAGCTGTTTAATGAATTATCAGCTTGCATGGTAGCCAAAATAAATGAAAGTTGAGATAATGTAATAACCCTTTTGTAGTTTTGTAGCATTATCTAGATACCTGACCTCTTTTATATATTACTTGTCATTTGGAGTAATAATGAAGGAATGGGTTGTTTTCTCATTTGACCTGATATTCATATTTCTTTTCTTATTGTCTTATCCCAGTTACCAAAAAAGAAGTATATTGTTCCCTAAATTTGTTTGAAATGAATTGATAACTGAGTCAGGAAACGAACATTGCTGCCTTTTTTTCACATTAGTTTCAGAAGTAGAATTAGGATAAATTTAAATTCATTCTTTATCTGTATCGCAAGAGTAACCCCCGAAAAAATCTTTGTGTTTTTGATTGATGAGATTCCCCCAAAATCTGATTAATTGAAGGTCAAAATAAAAGAAAGGGAATACATGCTAATGCTTTGGCCAAGAATTGAACATGATGAATTTTGAAAACATTCAAATTCCAGGAGAAATAGCCCATGGTGGAAATTATAGCACAAATTTACAAGTGATATAGATAATATGAGTTTTTCTCTTACAGCATGAGAAAACAACCAAAAGAAAGGCCAGCACCTGAGGAATTGATGGTAAGTAGATTTTTTTAGTTACATTAGAATTCTCCAGTTACATATCTGTGCTTAACATTCCGTTAAAAGGACCAGAATGGGATTTAAAGCATCCACAGACTCAGCAAAACCAATATAATTTACTTCATTTCAGTGGGTGCTTTTGAAGCTCACATCCTCAGATAGTAGTTTTCACTTCTTAAAAACCCATCACCAGTTTGAAACTTAATGCAGAATTCTTTTTCTTTGCCTCACACTCAAGGGTCACAAGTTAATCTAGGTTATTCTTTGTCCTCATTTGCTATTACAGCCTCTCAGAATTCAGAGGATTGGTAACAGAGAAGATAGTCAGCATATTAAGTTTTTAGTGCAGTCCTACAGGAAATTCTGAATGTGGCGTGGAGTCCTCTTGGATTCATGTAGAATGAAATTAGATTGGCTGCAAAAGATCAAGTTAATGTGAATCTTTGGTCTTTCCTCAGAAGGAGACAACTACAAGGCTGCAAGTGCTGTGTTCTCAGCTCCAAGGCTGCTTTCTTTGATTGCAAATGACAGTTTTTAGTCAAGCAGGGAGAGGAACAGAGACGTTCTGTAACAATTCCCAAATGGTCATTTATTTAGTGGAGATGGTTGATTTGACAACGCAGAAGCTGTTAGAATAACGTTAGCATCAAGCATTCATAAATAATAATTATAGTCTACTCTTTCTAATGTTTTGCGTACCATTCCCTGTCTTCAGATTATTGCAATCAGGACAAATTCTGACTAGTTTTCTCTCATCACTTTAAATAATAATCATTTTAAAGATATCGGTTCAAAGGTTTTTAGCCTTTGTATTTCATCCTTATAAATACGCTAAGCACCCAAACTTCTGTATAATACAGATTTCATCCCCAAATATAAAATAGCCGTATGTTTCCCTTTTATATCATAAGTGTTTTCCAGGAAGGTAGTTTTTTCCTTCATGTTACCCCTGGAGCAAAATCTCAGTTTTCAGGGTAGTTTCAAGTTAAAGTTCACCCCTAAAACCCCTGCAGTTTATAACTGTGCAGGTTTCACGTCTAGAATAAACTGGCCTTTTTTTTTTTTTTTTTTTTGACGGGGGCGGATCTCTGATGCTTGGGAAATTCATGCAGTTAGTCACATTTGAGGAAACTTGGAACAGGTTCTAGAGATGGAGACCCATTTACCTTGTACATTATCATGCTGTGGCTGGATAGCTCAGCTATTAAAACAAAGGAATAGGGTTTCATAAAACAGATATGCATGTTTCAATGCTGCAGTGAGTTGGCCACTTATAAATAAAACATCTGCAGATCGTACGTACACTCATAAATGCATCCGGATGTATGTGTTGGTAGGGAACACCACTCCAGGGTGGCAAGTTGTAAAGATAAGGCTGAAGGGTGAGTCCTTTCAGTGCCTTGAAAGCAAACATACGTGGCTATCTGTGTGTGGAGAGAGATGAGGAATACGTATTTCGATATATCTGTTTACAACTGTACACCCTGGTCTGTGCTGTCCCATATTTTTAATTAATAAATATCAATAAATCAATAAAATACAATGAAAAATTGTCACAGGAAGCACTATCCTATACTTAATTTAACATTATTTCTAGTACTGCTCACAGTTTGATTTAAATGAATTTATTCCCCTAGGTATAGCAATAGTGAGGCACCCCCTGGCTTAGTACAGGCTCAGTGAGGGGGCAGGAAACAATGGAATGTGTGTGAGGCTCCTGTGGTCAAGGGGGTTGAGCCCTGCCCCCCTTTGGCCAAAATATCGGGCCCAGAAGGGGATAGGAAAGAAAGTGGGCTGTCCCTGGCTTGAGGAACCTGAGTCACATCCTAGGGACCCCCTTAAGAAACCAGTCTCTTTATTCCTTTCAGCATATTAATAGCTTTAATTTTTCCTTTTCCCTCTCCGTCTACAACCTGTTTAGTGGTGCTCCCATCTGGAAGCTGAGCGCATCCTCTGGAATGCATGAACTGTAGAGCCCATTTGTCACTGGAGTGGGAGGGGGGGGCTGCCTTTCACAAAAAGAGCAGTGTATCTCCCAAGCGTGGTGACTCCCCCAGCAGGGTACCAACATGGTCTGCACAGCTTGGGCCACATCAGCTGTGAGGCCCGCAGGATTGTTGAGGTTTCCCTATGGGCCTGCATTTTGCAAATCAAAGGGAGAGCATCAGAGGTGAAGTCAGGTGGAAATATGGAAAGTTACAGATTTGCCATCATGGAACTCTTACATGAACTTGGGTGTGACCCTGACCACCAGTGAACACAGCAAGTCCCAGCCTAAGTAAATCAAAATGCAGGGAGAGGTGTGCCCAAACACCCTCACCTCTGGGCCTGGGCCTTGCACTTAGCAGGCACTCAAGTGGTTTTTGTTGTTTTATTTGGTGGAGTCACCTTATATACCAGAATACCCAAGTCTTAAAAATCATCATCTTTGCAATTTTTGACCATATCATTCTTAAAGATGACATGTAAAACTCAAGTTTAGACGCCAGCGGCTATTAAAATCCGAATGTTAGAACTCATTTAGTTGTTTAGCTGTTTAATTCTCTCTCCTTTGCATGGTTGTTCCTAAGATGGCTACAGTTTTTCTGTTCTAAGTGGAAATGTTTTAAAATTGGACCAAGAACTTGCCTTAATGGTCACATTTGGGGGAGGCCAGGGTTCACATGAACTGGTACCATTTTCTGGCATGTACCCCTTAAGCTACATAAAGAATTAACTCAGAAGTCTCATCATCGGCATCCACATCATCTTGGGAGATCTCAGAACCAGGTAGACAACTGATTCAGTAGATATTTATAGACCATTATGTGCAAAGTCCTGTGCTAGACTCAGCAGAAGATGCAGGGTAAGCTTCACACATACAGTGTTGCAGGGGGTAGGGCAAGTATACAAATAATTAGAATAAACTAAGTACTATGAAAGAATTGCAGAGTTCTGTGGGGATCCATATGGGGAAATGGGGAACAGCTATATGGAGAAGGTAGCATTTGAAAACAGCCTTTGGAGGATGGATTGAATTTTAATAGAGAGTTTGCAAGGGGTCATTCCAGGCAGAGGAAAGGACGGGCAAAGCATGAGTGTGTCGAGTCCCCAAACCTTTTCAGAGCAATGTGAAACCTCTAGTGCTTGCTGGAACAGAAATTCCATTGGCATTGGCCTCATGGAGTCACAAACCCACAAAGGTAGAGCTCAAATAGGCAATATATTCACCACCAGCTGGGAAATCTGTTAAGAAATTCCACTTCTAATAGAAGGAACCCTAGTACCCAGGTCTGAAAACTTTGACTTGACATAGAAGCAGCACACCCACCCATAAGTACCTTTTTTCTTGAGTTAATTCTTTTGAGTGGACTCTATTCAGTTATAGGGAAGTCCTTCATCCTTGGGGAAGATCTGACCTTTCTTCAATTCTTTAAGAGTTATTGCATGCATCAGGAATCAGCTTTAAACCTAGCAAAGGAGAACCAGCCATGCAGGCAGCCCAGGAGCATTTGGCATGCTGACACAGCCAGACAGATAGGAACCCCACACATCCTCTTTCTGTTCCTGTGACGATGATTCCGTAATTAAAGAACCCACTTTTAAATCACTCTGATGTAAAGCACAGGAAAGACCTATATCAGTGCTGCCCCAGCTCTGTGACTGAAGACCAACAAACTTAGAAAAAAGTTTCCAGGCTGTAGAAACTCTGAGAAGGTGGCAGACGGTGTTCACAGGCTTCAGACAACCAAGCAAACGTGTCACGGCTTATGTGGGAAAAGGGCAGCTTCTGCCAGTCAGAAAGGATTGATGGGATTGCAGCAAGAGGGGAGAGGACGATGATGCGAAGGCGCTAGGGAAAGTTTCCCAAAATGTCAATAATCAGATTGAGGGAAGCAAAAAATTAAGAATCATACCCCTGCACTCAGGGACAGAGACAACCTGAGGTGAAGGCACAGAGATGGAGAGGTGTGTGGCTGGCTTGGCTATTCAAATTATATGTTTACATATTTTTAAGTAAAAGGGACAGGTGAGCAACCTCACTCTATAGACCATCTGCTTGTGTAAACCACAGAGAATTCCTTCTGCCGAATTAATCCTCCTTTTGGGTTCTTTTGTAGCGAAGGTCAGGCAGATTTAGCAGGGGAGCTTCCTTTCCCTTGTTAGCAGCTCTCCAATCCCTCCCCACTTCTGTGTCTTCATTTGCAAAATGAAGGGGATGGACCAGATCAGCAATCCTTGACCTGGGGTCTGTGACTTCATTCAGGAAGAGCCCCTGAAATTACATCCAAAATTGTATATGCATGTGGCGATTTGCATTTCTTCAAAGAAGAATTCATGGCTGTCATCAGTTTTTCAAAGGGACCCTAAGTGATTGTTCAGCTCCCTCACTACCTTCCCACTCTGTTAGAGCTCTGCAGCCAGGACGGGACGAGCCTCTCAGGAGAGAGGCATTCGTTTGGAGGGTGAAACGCTTGCTTGGGGGAAGGGAAGGGAAGGAAAGGGAAGGGCCCTCCCTGTGGGACTCGGCACGGCTTCCCACCAGGTCTCAGGCAGCCCTTTAACCTCTCAGCGTATCCTGAATGTGGGCCTTGATTCGAGCAGGGAAGGTGTGGGCCGTGGGCTCCTATGCAGTTACAATTTGGATTCAGAGCGCTGTAGATCCTTCTATGCATTTAGAGTGTTTCCAGAAGCTTTCCATGTCTAAGCTCTATTTAATGGAATCTATGCATAGTAAGTAGTCAGGTCAGAAGAAGCAGCATCCCGGTTTGAGATCAGTCGCTGGCTAACGCTTTAGCTAGGCCACTTTATTACCTCACGCTGGTCCGATTGCCATTCTGCCCCTCCTTTGTCCCATGCACTTTGACTGTGGTAAAAGTACGTATCACATACATATTAAAAACATATACCCATTCTATCTGTATGTAAATGCATGAGGCACAGCTGGATACTGCAGAGGAGTTTGATTTACTAATAGTTATTATCTGTTCTAGCTGTTCAGTGGCAGAGAGAATTTC